GCAATTATCTCCCATATCCTTGCTTTCTCGAAAAAACTGCTTAATTGCGAAAATTTGAAAACAGATCGGTTGCTGTCAGTTCTTTTACAGATGATTGCACTGCTGTTTAATTAAACAGTTTTATTAGAAAGGGGATGGTATCTTGATTGTTTCACGTCGAGTGGTTCAATGGGACTGGTAACCAATGGCCGCACATTATAATAAGCAGGTGGGAGCCAGCGGCTCCTTCATAGCAGTAGTGTATACTGAAATCTTGAACTTTTTGATATACGTTCATTTTGGGGGCACTGTTTCCATTAAGCGAACTGTCAAGTCCATAGTTAGCGTGACATATAACAAAAGCAGGACGTGTCTCGGACAAACTTGTACATTTTTGATTCAGTTGCATTTTAAAACTGCGTATACTTACATACATCCTATTTTGTGCTAGGTGTGACTAGGCAAAATAGCTTAACTACAATTTGTTACTATACATGAAGGTACGATTTTATGTTCAACGTCAAAATGACATAATGTTGTATTGGGAAACCTTATCTCAAGATACATCCTTTTACCGAAAGACCATATTGCTTCTGTTTGTGATATGACAAGGTAAAGTGGTACAACTTGCTTTCAATTCTCTCGTTTTTCAGAACACCAAACTTGTTACCCGTGGAAAATTTGGTTTAATTGACAGTGAAAGAGGAAATACAGCCGATAACTTTTAAAGCATTTTTTTAAATTCCAAAGTGCATTTTCTTCAAGATACGATGTTTTCCACTGAGAGGGCCGCCATGGTAATGAGTTTCGTGATGGCGTTTGACCATCATTTGGCATTTTATTTTTTGTCTGTTGATGCAACGGGTTTCATATTCTCTGTTTTTCTTTTAAGCTTAAACATGACCACATTTATTTGAAAAGAATAATGTCCTTTGGTGCAGTATAGATTGTTTTATTAAGGTGCTTATGACGAGTCGAAACAAATAACATTAAAAATGATCGAAACATATTTCAGCGTTTTTCAAGCATCTACCAAAAGATAAAGCGAATGCAAACTTTTCCCTACTTTTCAATAGTACAGAATGTGAGTTGTAAGGCTTTTTAAAAACAATATTGGAACTTTTAAAACATTAAAAATACTGCTATCTAATGCACGGGTTGCTATCTACGCTATAACAATATTATTTTTTTTTAAATGTGACACGAAAAATACATATTAAAGTTGACCGTTTCAAATCTACACACTATAAACATCAACAAAACACTTAGTTCTATTCTAAAACAGCAACTTCGCAAATTTCAATTTTACGGTAACGTATTCAGCAAACTTACTTCTCTATGTCTGATGAAATAATTCCGGACTAGCGAATAGATTTCAACTCCTCATTTGAAACTCGTTTCAAAGTTTCTCATCAATACTCTTTTGCAGATTGGATCTACTGTCCCAAGGACGCAGTCATAGTCACGTTCCACGTTTCTTTTTGGATCTTAAACTCACCAAGATATCACAGGTGTCAAACAGGAAACAGCTCGTGAAAGGTAAGGTGAAGAGTCTATTTTTCATCTTTATGGCATTGCAATGAAATGTGTAAATGCGAATATCGATCTTGTGTCCTTAAAATTTATGAGTTCAGCGCAGTTATGTTGGATCAAAGTCTTATAATATAAGTATGTTGAATTTCTAATTAAAAGAGATACATGTATAATAAATGAAATATCGATATGCCGCTGCAATTTCGTTCATTGGTCGCGTGATATAGTGTTGTAAAATGAACATTCCTTTGCTGCCTACTTTATTGGTTAAAGTATTACAATAGAGTCAATGCATAGTATGTATAACGACGTATAGGCCTACATTGATGAAGTTATGTAACCAGCTTTTAGGTATAAATACAAACAGCTCTGAAGTGTTATGGCTGGCGATGCAATTCAGTGATCAGTTGTATTCGTAGTAAGCACAGTCGCACTTCTGCACAAAGTACTGTCCCTGGTCAATTTGGTTCCGTGTGACATTGTTGAGCTGGCATTCGTTGCTTTCCATCAAGTTGAAGGAGCGACATTCGGGTTCCTTGGTGCAAGCGATGCAGCATTGTAAGGGATGCTTGATAACGATCTGCTTGTAGGCGTGGTCGATGAGGCAGTGATCTGAGGGTGAACTTTGACCATCAGTTGCAGCGGCGAAACAGACGCGTGATGTGAAGCATTCCAGAGCCATCTCGCAGAGTGACGATAACACACCACCTTCAGAAACATGTTGCCAAGATCCATATAATCTCATGACTGCGCGATTGAATGATTCGTAAAAACCTAATTGCGTTTCATACACGTTTCGATAATTGTCTCCGTCGTTGTCATCCCCAAAGCAGGTGAATTGGTTGGGCCCAGCTCGGATGCAGCCAATCCATAATCCTCTGTGAGGTAGAAATGATCGAATCCAGTCGTTTTCTTCTTTGGAGTTTGGCACCGCCAAATCCCCTCCAAACATCTGACAAAACTGGCGGGCTGATGCCCAATTCATTGGCTCCTCGTTCTCCATGTAGCACGCCTTATCCCATTCACTCCACCCTACGGGGCAACTGGTGTATAGCGTCAAACTCACAGGGACTTGACTCCAAAACAATATCAGAAACAGTTGTACTTCCATGTTTTCGTTCTTAGTAAACAATTAAGATCCAGTTCTATCAGATGTTTGACTTTTTCCTAGAGTCTTTAATACAAGTCCCGAAAAAGGTTTTTGGTGTGGCAGTGGGCAAACATTACTCTTGACCACGAATCAGAAGATAATTGGACTGCGCAAGCTCATCCGATACCAATTCGTCATGAAAATGACAAAGTGTCCAGTTGTGTTATACTTTTTATTGAAACATAATACTATTAGTGGATAATGTCTTAACAGTTCTCCTTCCATATTGTGGTTGTGAAGATTCAATTCTATGATTCACTATGAAGTCCCGAAAATCTTTTGTAGTCAGAAGGAATTATTTCTAACCACGAATCAGAAGAAAAACCGGCACTGAGTAACTTCATCCAATGCGAACTCGTCAAGAGAAATGAAGGTGAAATGCTATATACTTTTCTAAAAAACGTTCCACACTATCGGTCCACAATATTGGTCTCTGTTGTGACTGTTCGTTACCCGTGTGGAAAAAAAAGTACTTTTTGCTCTCCAAGTTTGCTTGATCGTAATTTTGTCGTGCACTAAGTCCGTCGTCCGAATATTGACATTACTAATACAGCCATGTACATTTGCTGACAGGCAGGAGAATGACAGAATTAGTCAAAATAAATTCTAACGAAAGTGACGCCAAACGTTTTCGTTCGCGATCGTTGCGCCGCTCCTCCCTTGGCAGCGTGTTCCAACTTCACAGTGGTTCACTTGTTGCCTCGTGTGGGCTTTTATAACTTACACTCATCGGTTGACGTGTGTTTTAATTGATTGCCAATTAGTTCAGTACCACGCGCGTCGCTCTTATCTTCGTCTAAAAATAATTCGAAGACCTTGCGCTTTCCCTGAGACGAAGGTGAGAGGAAAACTAGTTTGAATTGCAACATCCCTCAACGCCGACTGATTGAACCCCACAAGAGATTTATTATTGAGTACGCTGCGCACCTTTTTATACTTGACCTCCCAGATATATAAGCTGGATTAGGAAAATTATATACACAGTGAGGATGGGATATTTTCAATATACACCTATCACTATTGGACAGATGCTGGGGAAATATGCGAACCGACCGCCCATGTTGTCAACAAGCCATGTTTTCAAAGTACAGCTGGTAACCAATAGCCGCACATTATGATAAGCAGGTGGGAGCCGGCGGCTCCTTCGTGGCAGTAGTGTATAACTTAAATCTTGAACTTTTTGATATACGTTCATTTTGTGGATTTTTGGGGCGCTGTTTTCATTTAACGAGCTGTCAGTTCCGTACTTAGCCTGACCTTCCGTTTAAAATCAAAAGCAGGACGTGTCTTGGACAAAGTTGTACATTCTGTTACATTGACAAAACGGCGTTTATTCACATACATCCTATGTTGTGCTAGGTGTGACTAAGCAAAATAGCTAAACTACAATATACATGTCTAGTACGATTTTATGTTCAACGTCAAAATGCCATAATGGTGTATTGGGAAACGTTAACTCAAGATGCATCCTTTTACCGAAAGACCATACTCTGTTTGTGATATGACAAGGTAAAGTGGTACAACTTCTTTTCAATTCTCTCGTTTTTTGAAACACCAAATTTGTTACCCATGGAAAATTTGGTTTAATTAACTGTGAAAGAGGATATATAGCCGACCTTGTAACTTTTAAAGCATTTTTTTGCCAAAGTGCATTTTCTTCAAGATACGCCGTTTTCCAATGAGAGGACCGCCATGCTAATGAAGTTTTACGATGGCCTAAGGCCATCGTTTTGGCAAATTACATTTCTTGTCTGTTGATGCAACGGGTTTCATATTCTCTGTTTTTCTTTTAAGCTTAAACATGACCACATTTATTGGAAAAGAATAATGTTCTTTGGTGCAGTATAGATTGTTTTTATTAAGGTGCTTATAACGAGTCGAATCAAATAACGTTTACAATGATCGAAACATATTTCAGGGTCTTTCTTCTACCAATGTAACAAGATAAAGCGAATGCATACTTTTCCCTACTTTTCAATAGTAAAGAATGTGAGCATTATGGCTTTCTTTTAACAATATTGGAACTTTTAAAACATTAAAAATACTGCTATCTAATGCACGGGTTGCTATCTACGCTATAACAATATTATTATTTTTTTAAAAATGTGACACGAAAAATACAAAGTTGGTTGACCGTTTCAAATCTACACACTGCATACATCAACAAAACACTTATTTTTATTCTAAAACAGCAACTTCGCAAATTTCAATTTTACCGTAACGTATTCAGCAAACTTACTTCTCTATGTCTGATGAAATAATTCCGGACTATAGCGAATAGATTTCAACTCCTCGTTTGAAACTCGTTTCAAAGTTTCTCATCAATCCTCTTTTGCAGAATGGATCTACTGTCACAAGGGCGCTGTCATAGTCGTGTTCCACGTTTCTTTTTGGATCTTAAACTCGCCAAGATATCACACAGGTGTCAAACAAGAAACAGCGTGTGAATGGTAAGGTGAAGAGTCTATTTTTCATCTACATGGCATTGCAATGAAATGTGTAATGCGAATATCGATCTTGTGTCCTTAAAAGTTATCAGTTCAGCGCAGTTATGTTGTATCAAAGTCTTATAATATAAGTATGTTGAATTTCTAATTAACAGAGATACATGTATAATTTTAAATGAAATATCGATATGTCGCTGCAATTTCGTTCATCGGTCGCCGCGTGATATAGTGTTGTAAAATGAACATTCCTTTACTGCCTACTTTATTGGTTAAAGTATTACAATAGAGTCAGTGCATAGTATGTATAACGACGTAAAGACCTACATTATGAAGTTATGTAACCAGCTTTTTATAGGTATAAATACAAACGCTCTGAAGTGTTGTGGCTGGCGATGCAATTCAGTGATCAGTTGTATTCATAGTAAGCGCAGTCGCCCTTCTGCACAAAGTACTGTTCCTGGTCAAGTTGGTTCCGTGTGACATTGTTGAGCTGGCATTCGTTGCTTTCCATCAAGTTGAAGGAGCGGCATTCGGGTTCCTTGGTGCAAGCGATGCAGCATTGTAAGGGATGCTTGATAACGATCTGCTTGTAGGCGTGGTCGATGAGGCAGAGATCTGAGGGTGGACTTTGACCATCAGTTGCAGCGGCGAAACAGACGCGTGATGTGAAGTATTCCAGATCCATCTCGCAGAGTGACGGGAATTCACCAGCTTCAGGAAAAAGTTGCCAAGATCCCTCTACTCCCATGACTGCGCGATTGAATGATTCGTAAAAACTGTACGGCGATTCAAATACGTTTCGATAATTGCCTCCGTTACTGTCATCCCCGAAGCAGGTGAATTGGTTGGGCCCAGCCCGTATGCAGCCAATCCATAATCCTCTGTGAGGTAGAAATGATCGAATCCAGTCGTTTTCTTCTTTGGAGTTTGGCGCCGCCAAATCCCCGCCAAACATCTGACAAAACTGGCGGGCTGATGTCCAATTCATTCGCTTCTCATTCTCCATGTAGCACGCATTAACCCATTTACTCCACCCTAAAGGGCAACTGGTAGTGTACATCGTCGAACTCAAAGGGAAATGAGAGAAAAGGAATATTACCAGAAACAGTTCTCCTTCCATATTGTGGTTGTGACGTTTCAATTCTATGATTCACTATGAAGTCCCGAAAATCTTTTGTAGTCAGAAGGAATTATTTCTAACCACGAATCAGAAGAAAAACCGGCACTGAGTAACTTCATCCAATGCGAACTCGTCAAGAGAACTGAAGGTGAAATGCTATATACTTTTCTAAAAAACGTACCAGACTATATCGGTCCACACTATTGGTCTCTGTTGTGACTGTTCGTTGCCCGTGTGGAAAACAAAGTACCTATTGTTCTCGACGTTTGCTTGATCGTAATTTTGTCGTGCACTAAGTCCATTGTCCGAATATTGACATTATTAATACAGCAATCTACATTTGGTGAAAGGCAGGAGAATGACAGAATTAGTCAAAATAAATTCCAAAGAAAATGACGCCAAACGTTTTTTCGTTCGCGATCGTTGCACCGTTCCTCCCTTCGCAGCGTGTTCCAACTTCACAGTGGTTCACTTGTTGCCTCATGTGGGCTTTTATAGCTTACACTCATCGGTTGACGTGTGTTTTAATTGATCACCAATTATTTCAGAACCACATGCGTCGCTCTTATCTTCGTCTATAAAATAATTCGAAGACCTTGCGCTTTCCCTAATACGATGGTGAGAGGAAACAACTATTAATTGCAACATTCTTCAACACCGACTGATTAAACCCCACAAGAAATTTATTATTCAGTACGCTGCGCACCTTTCGTATACTTGACCTCCCAGGTATATAAGCTGGATTAGGAAAATTATATACACGGTGAGGATGGGATATTTTCAATATGCACCTATCACTATTGGACAGATGCTGGGGAAATATGCGAACCGACCGCCCATGTTGTCAACAAGCCATGTTGCGAAGTGAAGTTATTCGACAACTTGGTGTTATTTGCGAGAACGTATCCAGCGCTAAACGTACTCTTGTTTGGTAATCTTGTGTGACGTTAAAGTTATCCGAAAAATCACGCTGCGCCATTTTTGAAGTAAGTCAAACACGTCTTAGCGATATATTGGCCGCAGACAGGCGTCAAAAGATACAATCATCGTTCGTCTGGATGTGAAGGAAGGATACCTACTTTATGTGAATGGGAATGCAAACCAACTTTACGTCAAGAAGCATCCGTGATAACATTTGCCGGCTTCCACCGGTAACTAGTGTTTTGTTCACCTTCTCGCGGATCATGATGAATCGGCTTAAAACCAGAATCGGCCTTCATTAAAGAAGGAGCTATTATCTGCCATATCCTTGCTTTCTCGAAAAAACTGCTTAATTGCGAAACTTTGAAAACAGATCGGTTGCTGTCAGTTCTTTTACAGATGATCGCACTGCTGTTTAATTAAACAGTTTTATTAGAAAGGAGATGGTTTCTTGATTGTTTCACGTCGCGGTCACAGCGGATCAATGGGACTGGTAACCAATGGCCGCACATTATAATAAGCAGGTGGGAGCCAGCGGCTCCTTCATGGCAGTAGTATACTGAAATCTTGAACTTTTTGATATACGTTCATTTTGTCGGTACTGTTTCCATTTAGCGAACTGTCAAGTCTGTAGTTAGCGTGACATATAACAAAAGCAGGACACGTGTCTTGGACAAACTTGTACTTTTTTGATTCAGTTACATTTTCAAAACTGCGTATACTTACATACATCCTATTTTGTGCTAGGTGTGACTAGGCAAAATAGCTAAACTACAATTTTTTACTATACATGAAGGTACGATTTTATGTTCAACGTCAAAATTCCATAATGTTGTATTGGGAAACCTTATCTCAATAAATCCATAATCCGCTTTGAGGTAGAAATGATCTAATCCAGTCGTTCTCTTCTTTGGAGTTTGGCACCGCCAAATCTCCGCCAAATATCTGACAAAACTGGCGGGCTGATGTCCAATTCATTGGCTTCTCGTTCTCCAGGTAGCACGCATTAACCCATTTACTCCACCCTAAGGGGCAACTGGTAGTGTATATCGTCGAACTCAAAGTGAAATGAGTGAAAAGGAATATTACCAGAAACAGTTCTCCTTCCATATTGTGGTTGTAAAGTTTCAATTCTATGATTCACTATAAAGTCCCGAAAATCTTTTGTAGTTGGAAGGATTTATTTCTAACCACGAATCAGAAGAAAAACCGGCACTGATTTACTTCATCCAATGCGAACTTGTCAAGGGAACTGATGGTGAGATGCTATTCTAAACAACGTTCCAGACTATCGGTCCGTACTATTGGTCTGTGTTGTGACTGTTCGTTGCCCGCGTGGAAAACAAAGTACTTATTATTCTCCAAGTGTGTTTCGTCGTAATTTTGTCGTGAACTAAGTCCATCGTCCGAATTTTGACATTACTATTACAGCAATCTACATTTGCTGAAAGGCAGGAGAATGGCAGAATTAGTCAAAATAAATTCTAACGAAAATAACCCCAAACGTTTTTCGTTGGCGATCGTTGCACCGCTCCTCCCTTGGCAGCGTGTTCCAACTTCACAGTGGTTCACTTGTTGCCTCATGTGGGCTTTTATAACTTACACTCATCGGTTGACGTGTGTTTTAATTAATTGCCAATTAGTTCAGTACCACGCGCGCCGCTCTTATCTTCGTCTATAAAATAATTCGAAGACCTTGCGCTTTCCCTGAGACGAAGGTGAGAGGAAAACTAGTTTTAATTGCAACATCCCTCAACACCGACTGATTGAACCCCACAAGAGATTTATTATTCAGTACGCTGCGCACCTTTCGTATACTTGACCTCCCAGGTATATAAGCTGGATTAGGAAAATTATATACACGGTGAGGATGGGATATTTTCAATATGCACCTATGACTATTGGACAGATGCTGGGGAAATATGCGAACCGACCGCCCATGTTGTCAACAAGCCATGTTGCGAAGTGAAGATATTCGACAACTTGGTATTATTTGCGAGAACGTATCCAGCGCTAAACGTACTCTTGTTTGGTAATCTTGTGTGACGTTAAAGTTATCCGAAAAATCACGCTGCGCCATTTTTGAAGTAAGTCAAACACGTTTTAGCGATATATTGGCTGCAGACAGGCGTCAAAAGATACAATCATCGTTCGTCTGGACGTGGAGGAAGGATACGTACTTTATGTGAATGGGAATGCAAACCAAATTTACGTCAAGAAGCACTCGTGATAACATTTGCCGGCTTCCACCGGTAACTAGTGTTTTGTTCACCTTCTCGCGGATCATGATGAATCGGCTTAAGACCAGAATCGGCCTGAGAAGGAGCCATTATCTGCCATATCCTTTCTTTCTCGAAAAAACTGCTTAATTGCGAAACTTTGAAAACAGATCGGTTGCTGTCAGTTCTTTTACAGATGATCGCACTGCTGTTTAATTAAACAGTTTTATTAGAAACGAGATGGTTTCTTGATTGTTTCACGTCGAGTGGTTAAATGGGACTGGTAACCAATGGCCGCACATTATAATAAGCAGGTGGGAGCCAGCGGCTCCTTCATGGCAGTAGTGTATACTGAAATCTTGAACTTTTTGATATACGTTCATTTTGGGGGCACTGTTTCCATTAAGCGAACTGTCAAGCGCGTAGTTATTATTATTATTATTATTATTTATTCGACCAAAACAATACACAATTTACAAACACGGTATGAAAAACAAAAAACTAAACAAAAATGTATGAAAGCTACGAAATACAAACTAAAACAAAATAAACACAAAAGACGACACTGTATAAGTGTAAGTGTAAGTGTATAAGTGTAAGTGTAAGTTAGCGTGACACATAACAAAAGCAGGACGTGTCTTGGACAAACTTGTACATTTTTGATTCAGTTGCATTTTCAAAACTGCGTATACTTACATACATCCTATTTTGTGCTAGGTGTGACTAGGCAAAATAGCTAAACTACAATTTGTTACTATACATGAAGGTACGATTTTATGTTCAACGTCAAAATGCCATAATGTTGTATTGGGAAACGTTATCTCAAGATACATCCTTTTACCAAAAGCCATATTGCTTCTGTTTGTGATATGACAAGGTAAAGTGGTACAACTTTTTTTCAATTCTCTCGTTTTTTAGAACACCAAACTTGTTACCCGTAGAAAATTCGGTTTAATTGACTGTGAAAGAGGAATTATAGCCGATAACTTTTTAATCATTTTTTTTTATCCCAAATTGCATTCTCTTCAAGATACGCTGTTTTCCAATGAGAGGGCCGCCATGCTAATGAAGTTTCGTGACGGCGTTTGCCCATCATTTGGCATTTTATTTTCTTGTCTGTTGATGCAACGGGTTTCATATACTCTGTTTTTCTTGTAAGCTTAAACATGACCACATTTATTGGAAAAGAATAATGTTCTTTGGTGCAGTATAGATTGGTTTAATAAGGTGCTTATAACGAGTCCAAACAAATAACGTTTTCAATGATCGAAACATATTTCAGGGTCCTTTTTCTACCAATGTAACAAAATATAGCGAATGCATACTTTGTCCTACTTTTCAATACTAAAGAATGTGAGTATTATGGCTTTCTTTTAACAATATTGGAACTTTTAAAACATTAAAAAATACTGCTATCTAATGCACCGGTTGCTATCTACGCCTTAACAACATTATTTTTTTTAAATGTGACACGAAAAATACAAAGTTGGTTGACTGTTTCAAATCTACACACTGCATACATCAACAAAACACTTATTTCTATTCTTAACCAGCAACTTCGCAAATTTCGAATTTTACCGTAACGTATTCAGCAAACTTACGGCTCTATGTCTGGTGAAATAATTCCGGACTAGCGAATAGATTTCAACTCCTCATTTGAAACTCGTTTCATAGTTTCTCATCAATCCTGTTTTGCAGAATGGATCTACTGTCACAAGGGCGCTGTCATAGTCATGTTCCACGTTTCTTTTTGGATCTTAAACTCGCCAAGATATCACACTGGTGTCAAACAAGAAACAGCGTATGAAAGGTGAGATGAATAATTTATTTTTCATCTTCATGGCATTGCAATGAAATGTGTAAATGCGGATATCGATCTTGTGTCCTTAAAAGTTATCAGTTCAGCGCAGTTATGTTGGACAAAGTCTTATAATATAAGTATGTTGAATTTCTGATTAACAGAGATACATGTATAATTTTAAATGAAATATCGATATGTCGCTGCAATTTCGTTCATTGGTCGCGTGATATAGTATTGTAAAATGAACATTCCTTTGCTGCCTACTTTATTGGTTAAAGTATTACAATAGAGTCAATGCATAGTATGTATAACGACGTATAGGCCTACATTATGAAGTTATGTAACCAGCTTTTTATAGGTATAAATACAAACGCTCTGAAGTGTTGTGGCTGGCGATGCAATTCAGTGATCAGTTGTATTCATAGTAAGCGCAGTCGCCCTTCTGCACAAAGTACTGTTCCTGGTCAATTTGGTTCCGTGTGACATTGTTGAGCTGGCATTCGTTGCTTTCCATCAAGTTGAAGGAGCGGCATTCGGGTTCCCTTGTGCAAGCGATGCAGCATTGTAAGGGATGCTTGATAGCCATCTGCTTGTAGGCGTGGTCGATGAGGCAGAGATCTGAGGGTGGACTTAGACCATTAGTTGCAGCGGCGAAACAGACGCGTGCCGTGAAGCATTCTAAAGCCATCTCGCAGAGTGACGGGAATAAAGCACCTTCTGGAACATGTTGCCAAGATCCATCTAATCTCATGACTGCGCGATTGAATGATTCGTAAATACTGTATACCCATTCATATACGTTTCGATAATTGTCTCTGCTACTGTCATCCCCGAAGCAGGTGAATTGGTTGGGCCCAGATCGGATGCAGCCAATCCATAATGCTCTGTGAGGTAGAAATGATCGAATCCAGTCGTTTTCTTCTTTGGAGTTTGGCACCGCCAAATCCCCGCCTAACGTCTGACAAAACTGGCGGGCTGCTGCCCAAGTCATTGGCTCCTCGTTCTCCATGTAGCACGTATTAACCCATTTACTCCACCCTAAAGGGCAACTGGTAGTGTACATCGTCGAACTCAAAGGGAAATGAGTGAAAAGGAATATTACCAGAAACAGTTCTCCTTCCATATTGTGGTTGTGAAGTTTCAATTCTTTGATTCACTATGAAGTCCCGAAAATCTTTTGTAGTCAGAAGGAATTTTTTCTAACCACGAATCAGAAGAAAAACCGGCACTGAGTAACTTCATTCAATGCGAACTCGTCAAGAGAACTGAAGGTGAAATGCTATATACTTTTCTAAAAAACGTACCAGACTATATCGGTCCACAATATTGGTCTCTGTTGTGACTGTTCGTTACCCGTGTGGAAAAAAGTACTTATTGCTCTCCAAGTTTGCTTGATCGTAATTATGTCGTGCACTAAGTTCATCGTCCGAATTTTGACATTATTAATACAGCAATCTACATTTGGTGAAAGGCAGGAGAATGACAGAATTAGTCAAAATAAATTCTAACGAAAATGACGCCAAACGTTTTTCGTTCACGATCGTTGCACCGCTCCTCCCTTCGCAGCGTGTTCCAACTTCACAGTGGTTCACTTGTTACCTCATGTGGGCTTTTATAACTTACACTCATCGGTTGACGTGTGTTTTAATTGATTGCCAATTAGTTCAGTACCACGCGCGTCGCTGTTATCTTCGTCTATAAAATAATTCGAAGACCTTGCGCTTTCCCTGAGACGAAGGTGAGAGGAAAACTAGTTTTAATTGCAACATCCTTCAACACCGACTGATTGAACCCCACAAGAGATTTATTATTCAGTACGCTGCGCACCTTTTGTATACTTGACCTCCCCGATATATAAGCTGGATTAGTAAAATTATATACACGGTGAGGATGGGATATTTTCATATGCACCTATGACTATTGGACAGATGCTGGGGAAATATGCGAACCGACCGCCCATGTTGTCAACAAGCCATGTTGCGAAGTGAAGATATTCGACAACTTAGTGTTATTTGCGAGAACGTATCCAGCGCTAAACGTACTCTTGTTTGGTAATCTTGTGTGACGTTAAAGTTATCCGAAAAATAACGCTGGGCCATTTTTGAAGTAAGTCAAACACGTCTTAGCGATATATTGGCTGCAGACAGGCGTCAAAAGATACAATCATCGTTCGTCTGGATGTGAAGGAAGGATACGTACTTTATGTGAATGGGAATGCAAACCAAATTTACGTCAAGAAGCACTCGTGATAACATTTGCCGACTTCTACCGGTATTTAGTGTTTTGTTCACCTTCTCGCGGATCATGATGAATCGGCTTAAAACCAGAATCGGCCTTCATTAAAGAAGGTGCAATTATCTCCCATATCCTTGCTTTCTCGAAAAAACTGCTTAATAGCGCAAATTTGAAAACAGATCGGTTGCTGTCAGTTCTTTTACAGATGATCGCACTGCTGTTTAATTAAACAGTTTTATTAGAAAGGAGATGGTATCTTGATTGTTTCACGTCGAGTGGTTCAATGGAACTGGTAACCAATGGCCGCACATTATAATAAGCAGGTGGGAGCCAGCGGCTCCTTCATAGCAGTAGTGTATACTGAAATCTTAAACTTTTTGATATACGTTCATTTTGTCGGCACTGTTTCCATTCAGTGAACTGTCAAATCCGTAGTTAGCGTGACATATAACAAAAGCAGGACGTGTCTTGGACAAACTTGACATGTTTGATTCAGTTGCATTTTCAAATCTGCGTATACTTACATACATCCTATTTTGTGTTAGGTGTGACTAGGCAAAATAGCTAAACTACAATTTGTTACTATACATGAAGGTACGATTTTATGTTCAACGTCAAAATGACATAATGTTGTATTGGGAAACCTTATCTCAAGATACATCCTTTTACCGAAAGACCATATTGCTTCTGTTCGTGATATGACAAGGTAAAGTGGTACAACTTGCTTTCAATTCTCTCGTTTTTTAGAACACCAAACTTGTTACCCGTGGAAAATTCGGTTTAATTGACTGTGAAAGAGGAATTATAGCCGATAACTTTTAAAGCATTTTTTTTTTATCCCAAAGTGCATTTTCTTCAAGATTCGCTGTTTTCCACTGAGAGGGCCGCCATGCTAATGAAGTTTCGTGACGGCGTTTGCCCATCATTTGGCATTTTATTTTCTTGTCTGTTGATGCAACGGGTTTCATATTCTCTGTTTTTCTTTTAAGATTAAAAATGACCACATTTATTTGAAAAGAATAATGTCCTTTGGTGCAGTATAGATTGGTTTAATAAGGTGCTTATAACGAGTCCATACAAATAACGTTTACAATGATCGAAACATATTTCAGGGTCTTTTTTCTACCAATGTAACAAGATAAAGTGAATGCATACTTTGTCCTACTTTTCAATAGTAAAGAATGTGAGTACATTGTATTATGACTTTCTTTTAACAATATTGGAACTTTTAAAACATTAAAAATACTGCTATCTAATGCACGGGTTGCTATCTACGCCATAACAACATTATTTTTTTGAATGTGACACGAAAAATACAAAGTTGGTTGACCGTTTCAAATCTACACACTGCATACATCAACAAAACACTTATTTTTTATTATAAACCAGCAACTTCGCAAATTTCAATTTTTACCGTAACGTATTCAGCTCCTCATTTGAAACTCGTTTCAAAGTTTCTCATCAATCCTCTTTTGCAGAATGGATCTACTGTCCCAAGGACGCAGTCATAGTCATGTTCCACGTTTCTTTTTGGATCTGAAACTCACCAAGATATCACACTGGTGTCAAACAAGAAACAGCGTATGCAAGGTAAGGTGAAGAATCTATTTTTCATCTTCATGGCATTGCAATGAAATGTGTAAATGCGAATATCGATCTTGTGCCCTTAAAAGTTATCAGTTCAGCGCAGTTATGTTGGTTCAAAGTCTTACATGTATCAGAGATACATGTATAATTTTAAATGAAATATCGATATGTCGCTGCAATTTCGTTCATTGGTCGCGTGATATAGTGTTGTAAAATGAACATTCCTTTGCTGCCTACTTTATTGGTTAAAGTATTACAATAGAGTCAATGCATAGTATGTATAACGACATATAGGCCTACATTGATGAAGTTATGTAACCAGCTTTTAGGTATAAATACAAACAGCTCTGAAGTGTTTTGGCTGGCGATGCAATTCAGTGATCAGTTGTATTCGTAGTAAGCACAGTCGCCCTTTTGCACCAAGTACTGTCCCTGGTCAATTTGGTTCCGGGTGACATTGTTGAGCTGGCATTCGTTGCTTTCCATCAAGTTGAAGGAGCGGCATTCGGGTTCCTTGGTGCAAGCGATGCAGCATTGTAAGGGATGCTTGATAACGATCTGCTTGTAGGCGTGGTCGATGAGGCAGAGATCTGAGGGCGGACTTTGACCATCAGTTGCAGCGGCGAAACAGACGCGTGCCGTGAAGCATTCTAAAGCCATCTCGCAGAGTGACGGGAATAAATCAATTTCAGGTATATACAGCCAAGATCCGTCTAATCTCATCACTGCGCGATTGAATGATTCGTAAAAATTATGTACCGTTTCAAATATGTTTCGATAATTGTCTCCGTCGCTGTCATCCCCGAAGCAGGTGAATTGGTTAGATCCAGCCTTGACGCAGCCGATCCAAAATTCGGTATGTGACATAAAGGACTGCACCCGGTCGTTCTCTTCTTTGGAGTTTGGCGCCGCCAAATCACCGCCAAACGTCTGACAAAACTGGCGGGCTGCTGCCCAATTCATTGGCTCCTCGTTCTCCAGGTAGCACGCCTTACTCCATTGACGCCACCCTACGGGGCAACTGGTGTATAGCGTGAAACGCACAGGGACTTGACTCCAAAACACCAATACCAGAAATATTTCTACTTCCATGTTGTCGTTCTCTGGAAACAATGAAAGATTCAATTGTATGGTTCACGCACTCCTTAAGTCTTACAAGTCCTGAAAGTGTATGTTGATTGATAGTTGGATCAAAAGAAAAACGGCACACGAACTCGTCAAGACAACTGTTAAGTGCCAAGGGGTGCTTTACTTTTCGGAAAAACGTTTCGGACTTTTAGTCGTTGATATATTGGTCTCTGTTGTGACTGCTCGTTGCCCGTGTGGAAAACAAAGTAATTTATTGTTCTCCAATTTTTACTTGGCCGTTAATTGTCCTGCGCTAAATCCACCGTCCGAATATTGAAATTACTAATCCAATCATCTACATTGGCTAAAAGGCGGGAGAATGACACAATTAAAGTGAGAACGCAACATATGCCAACTATTTTCGTACGCTATCGCTGTACTGTTCCTCCCTTCACACAGCGTATTATTCCAACTTCACAGTGGTCATTTTTGCCTCCTGTGGGCTTTTATAACTTCAGAAATACACTCATCGGTTGACGTCTTTTTTTAATTGATCACCAATTAAGTGCCACGCGCGTCGCTTTCACCGTCGTCTATAAAATAATTCGACGACCTTACGTTTTTTCCAAAATGCAGGTGAGAGACAAAAAAGTACTTTTAATTGCAACATCCTTCAACACCGACTGATTAAACCCCGAAGTACATTTGTCATTCAGTGCGCTGTGTTCTTGACCTCCCCGATACGGTATAAAAGCTGGATTAGGAAAATATCGTTTATCGGGTCAGGATGGAATATTTTCAGTATGCACCCAGAACTATTGGACTGATTGAAAATATGCGAACTGATCGCCCATGTTGTAAACAGGCCATATTGCGAATTGAAGATATTCGTCAACGTGGTGTTATTTGAAGACCAACAACGCCCATCGTACTCGCGCACGTGTGGCAATTCTGTGAGACATAATCAGCAACAATCAACTTGCACTGTCTTTCAAATAAGTGGAAGATGTCCGAGCAGTACGTACAGGCTTTGAAATAAAAATCATTCTTTTATCTGGAAGCAAAGGACAGTTCATAGCTCACGCGACAGCTTGTTTATTTTATTCAGTTTTTATTTATTTCGACAACATCCAACAGCATAAGTGCTAGCACAGGATTGATAAAGACATGGTAGAAGATGTGGAAGGAAATTACATGTTTTATTGGTGGGAGGAAAACCCCAGAATGATATTTTAGGGAAACCCACGGAATCAGGCAGGGACTGAAAACCCAATTCACACATTGGCCCAAGCAGGAATCGAACCTGGTTACAAGAGTGGAAGTCGAGGAAAGTACCGCTACGCCAACCTGTTCCCCCTTGTACCGATATCTATATATTCAACGGTTGCGTTCGCCGGTGCCGATCAGAATCCTCCTTCAGTCCTTAATCCTCCAATTTTAATATTTTTTTTCACAAACCTGAGGGAGTTAGGGCTAAAGAAGGGGCAATTATTTCCCGTCCTTGCCCCCTGAAAAAAGTGGTTCATTCTGAAAATTTGAAAACAGATCGGTCGTTGCCAGTGCCAGTTGCTTGACTGATGATCATTGCGCTGTTTAATTAACACGGGTTGATATCGTTTTTGTTTCACATCAAGTGGTAATAGGGCCGATTCAAAGTACAGCTGCTAAACCAACAGCCTTGAACTCTAATCTACAGCTGGGAGCCAGGCTCATTGATGGTGTCCGACTTGGCATCAAGTTAGCATGTTTGTAGATGCAGCGGCTGTGGTAAATAGCGCCCTCATTTGAAAGATTTGTCACAACGGCGCAAGTAAAAACCTCCGGTTTGTGGATCTTTTTTAACACCACTTTGAGAGAGAAAAAAAGGACAAATGTGTCGCCCGTAATTTTTAAAAATAGAATTATAGAAAACTTGAGCAGCGACGGGTTATTTATTGTATCGCTATCACTATCTAACTGAATATCGAGGGCTTGTTATTTTGTGACGAAAATCGCCAATGATTACTTATAATTGTTATTACATGTACGTATATTTTTATTATAAATGTTATCAGGTGCATCTAGTCCGTTTCTCTTCGTGGCTTTGATGGGTTTTTTTGGGAGGGGTTAAATATCAAACATTTACAATTTAGTTTCTTTTGTCAGAAAGCCATTAGGGCTGCGTACTGAAAAAGGCTCATCAATGAATGGTAGATGTAATGTTAGGAGTGCCGATCCCTCCATTAAGCTTGTCTTACATCTTCAAGACCTGATAATATGGCGAACGACATGTAACCCAGGCAACATAGCATAGAACAAACATCCTTTAACAATGGCTTCTTATTTGGACAGGTTGAAACCATGTTGTTATTGTATCACCAGTAAGTAAATCCAAAGTGCTATACTATTTTCTTACAGGACTGAGACCCTGCCTATAAACGTGTAGTGTTACGAACGCTGCATATTAACTGTTGTGCGAACAATATCCATTCATCAAAACTTAGCCCGTCAGTAAAACACGGTGTGCGTCATTTAGCAACTTCGTCGATAAAATTGCAATCTTAGATGCTATTTTGCAGCTGTAGGCGTTCTTTAAAAAGAGCGAGGATACATCTCACTATTTCCACGCCTAAAGTACACGGCGAGTTGGCCGGGATGATATGAAAGGTCCGCTCACGAGCAATTAACGGTGATCAATATCGACAGCCAGTCTGTCCGTGGGTGTCAGTCACGCAGTTCGCTGGCTGAGAATGATAACATCCTGGCGATATAACTCGCTCGTAGTCACTATTATGTATATTTAAAAACCAGCAACTAGTAGCCGGCAGCTTGCGCACATCAATCTGAAAGTTGGGATTCTGGTTGGCGTAGCGGTACTTTCCCCGCCTTCCACCGCTGTGACGACCCGGGTTCGAATCCCGCCTGGGTCAATATGTGGATTGGGTTTTCAGTCCCTACCTGATTCTGTGGGTTTTCCCCAGAATATTCTTCTGGGCTTTTCCTCCCACCTCTGAAACTGTAATATCTTCTCAGTGTCTCCTCTGTACAGGTTTCTTCAGGCTTGCGAGCTACAGTGCCTAGGGCACTTTTGAGGTATCCTTGGTTTCGTTACCAGAAAGAAAAATAATAAAGTAAGTTTGCAGTGTAATTGCTAACACCAACTTTATGTATATATTTTCATCTGTTTGTTATTTATTTCTGGTAATGAAACTGAGGATTCCTGAAGAAACCTGTAGAGGCATTTGGGGCAACATATGGGACCAAAAAAATTGGACTGGTATGTGTGTAGCTACATACACTCTACATAAAAAACTAAGCGCCCTCATCATACAAAAAATACAAAAAATGCTGCACAAAATTCCCATGAATACGTAGTACCCGTTGCCTAGGGTGATGATAGCCTTTAATTACAGAAAAAAGACTTTCTACAGAATTATGTCGTGCGCCAAACAGTTAAAAAAGTCTACAGGCATCTACCCTGTACAGAAAAAGTCTACAGGCATCTACCCTGTACAGAAAAAGTCTACACGCATCTACTCTGTACAAAAAAAGGTCTATACGCATCTACCCTGTAGAAACAAAGTATAGATGCATCTGACCTGCACCAAAAAAGTCTACACGCATCTACCCTGCACAAAAAAGTCTACACGCATCTACACTGTACAAAAAAGGGTCTACATGCACCTACACTGTACAAAAAAAAGTCTACACGCATCTACCCTGCACAAAAAAGTCTACATGCATCTACACTGTACAAAAAAAAGTCTACACGCATCTACCCTGCACAAAAAAGTCTACACGCATCTACCCTGCACAAAAAAAGTCTACACGCATCTACACTGTAGAAAAAAAAGTCTACACGCATCTACCCTGCACAAAAAAAGTGTCTACACACATCTTCACTGTAGAAAAAAGTCTACGCACATCTACCCTGCACAAAAAAAGGTCTACACGCA